TGTACACTGAAGTTATAAAGATGATATGTAGGTGTAGATTAAACACTCCTGGAGTAATAATGTACACTGAAGTTATAAAGATGATATGTAGGTGTAGATTAAACACTCCTGGAGTAATAATGTACACTGAAGTTATAAAGATGATATATAGGTGTAGATTAAACACTCCTGGAGTAATAATGTACAGTGAAGTTATAAATATGATGTGTAGGTGTAGATTAAACACTCCTGGAGTAATAATGTACACTGAAGTTATAAAGATGTTATGTAGGTGTAGATTAAACACTCCTGGAGTAATAATATATTACTCAATGCATAGAGACAATATAAATTATAACTTACAAAATCTTTCGATTGCTGAAGAGAAGAGGAATTAGAAATTTTCTCAGATGTTTTGTCTGAGATTTTTCCTCCATACATCTCGGCGATATCACAGGACATTTTGGCTACGTCGTTCTCTAATGCGTGCCACATCTCACAAAAAACATCCAAATTTTCCTTTGCAATTTTGCTGGTGGGGTGTAAGTAGAGGGTGTGGCAAGCATTTAGCACCTATCGAAGTGACATTGAAACCATATTTCATATACTATTTTGATAACAGTATCAAAAGAACGGTGTGGTAAAGTATCTTTGGTTATGTGGTGACATAGCTACATTGTTTTATTCTATTGTCTAATATTTGATTATGTAGTAACGTAGCTACATTGTTTTATTTTATTGTGTAATGTTTGGTAACGTGGTGACATAGCTACATTGTTTTATTTTATTATCTAATATTTCATTATGTGGTGATATAGCTATATTATTTGATTTTACAGTGTGGTATTTAATTATATCATTACACAATAAAATAAAACAATGTAGCTACGTTACTACATAATCAAATATTGGACAATAGAATAAAACAATGTAGCTACGTTACTACATAATCAAACATTAGACTCTACACTAAAACAATGTAGCTACGTTACTACATAATTATTTATATATATTATTATTATTAAGAACAAAAATGTTTATTTTTGCAGAGTAATGTCACACAAAAAGTTAAACTTCCTACGTTTACTGATTGAAAGAAATATTTCGAATATAAGAGCATAAACAGAGAAAAATCGTATAAAGAGAAGAACGAATTGGAATATTTATTTGTTGTTTTCAGCTTATTTGTACATTTTGTCATGTCGGTATTATATACAACATGATTTTTATAGTATCATGCTAAATGAATTGATTTCATTTAACCTAAATATCTTCTCTTTAACACCTCTTATAGAAATGATAACTGTCAAAAAGCTCTCAATTCAGTTGCGGACTTTCCTTGTGCTCAGTAAAATGACAAGGTACTGTGGCATCCAGCGGGAAAAAAACTTCTCGGCTACTTAGTGAATTTGAGCGCTCTATTGCGCCATATGCATTCATTTAATCGTAAACCAAAAACTTTTGCTAACAATTCATTGTAGTCAGTCTCCTTTTCTTAAAAACCAATGGAATGCGGTTTTCTTTATTGAAATAACACATGAAATGATAAAATACCGCTGTAAACGGCCCACTAGACATATACCCTATTATTCAAGGCATAGGATTGACTGCATATTTTTTGTTTATTCATCACTAGTTTTAGAAATTCACCATTGAATTGTTTTAACTGAAATACGGTAATATATCACACTGCAAAATCATGTAATGTAGACATATTACTAGATAATTATATATCTGAACGCACAATGTTCCCTGTTAGTCACAAAATTAACAATATATTTAATACTACAAATTACTGGAATTATTTAGACAAACAAGTAACTTGTGTTATAAGAAGTATAATCAAACAATCTATCAAAGAATACAATAGTACTACTTTTATCAGCCAGGTTGGGCTGTAACTCACCTGAACTCCGTAGATCTTAAGAGAATATTCCACGTGCTTGGAAGACACTTGTAAAGATTCACTACTGGCCACGTGGTGTAACAGCTTACACACCTGTTCAGAGGAAATAGCTATTGTAGTAAAAACAACAAAATTCTACCAAAAATATCTTTTCTAAAATGTTGAATTCTTTCTTTACAAAGAAACAAACACAGTCATAACATACGTTGAAATAATTCGTTCAGGTTTGACACCAGGTTATTTTTATAGAAGTCTAAATAATTCGGTCTGGTTTGACACCAGGTCCTTTCGTTACAAGTCTAAATAATTCAACCTGTCTTGACACCAGGTCCTTTCGATACAAGGATAAATAATTCGGTCTGGTTTGCCACCAGATCCTTTTCAGAGTAATTCAAACAATTGAATCTGGTTTGACACCTGATCTTTTTTTTAGAGAAGTTTAAATAATTCGGTTTTCTTTGGTACAAGGTCGTTTTGATAACAGTCTGAATAATTCTATCTGGACTGACATCAAGTTCGTGTAACATAGAATCTATCTTTCAACTGAGGCGCCTTGGTGGTAAGGATCGGACATAAATAATGCGGGATTTATCTGGTGTTTGGTGAAACTTACACAAGATGTGTCACAATTTACAGGTTCGAAAATGGAGAAAAATTGACCAAATTATGACGGGCCACGTCAGTAATAGAAACCATATAGTTAATGAGAGTACTTACTGTTGAGGTATCAAGCCCACAGATGTTGCGGCACTCAAAAAATAGGTTTGTTGCTGACAAATTCAATATTAACTTGTAGAGGTTTATTTCAATATTAATCCTAAATCCTCTGTAGAGGTTTATTTCAATATTAATCCTAAATCCCCTATAGAGGTTTATTTCAATATTAATCCTAAATCCCCTATAGAGGTTTATTTCAATATTAATCCTAAATCCCCTATAGAGGTTTATTTCAATATTAATCCTAAATCCCCTATAGAGGTTTATTTCAATATTAATCCTAAATCCCCTGTAGAGGTTTATTTCAATATTAATCCTAAATCCCCTGTAGAGGTTTATTTCAATATTAATCCTAAATCTCCTGTAGAGGTTTATTTCAATATTAATCCTAAATCCCCTATAGAGGTTTATTTCAATATTAATCCTAAATCCCCTACAGAGGTTTATTTCAATATTAATCCTAAATCTCCTGTAGAGGTTTATTTCAATATTAATCCTAAATCCCCTATAGAGGTGAAAGAAATTGTACTGTGAATAAAATCCATTTTCAAAAGTCCAACAAAGAAAAATAAATCATTTCTTTATAATAACCAAGTTTTTGCTGTCACTATTCTAACTGTATAACTTTACATAAATCTATGTGTATACATCATGCTGTATAGCTTCACATAAACCTGCGTACATACGTCATGTAAATGATCAACATGCTCGCTAAATTTTTCTGCGTAACACTCTAGCCTCAGTCGATCACCAGAGACTGCTGCGTTCTTAAGGCGGACTGTAAGCTCTGTCTCCTTCGTGACCTTAAACATCTCGTCCAAGTGGTCAAGCGTTGTCTCTTGGAGCTTAGAAGAAGGAGAAAATGTGTACACGTTAAAACAACTTTAACAGTTAACCTGTTAAAAAACACACTATAGAATATCAACACTTAACTTTGTATACTCTTATAGAGGACGTAAATACAACAAACTGTTTTAATTACTCTAGTACTTAATAGTAGGGATCGACAAGGATTCCAAATAATTCACGCGCCGAGAAACCATTATATCGAATTCCTAAACGAAAAACCGACCATTTCAAGTGTTCGTTACGATATATTATGCACACATATATATTGATAATACGCTAAAAAGGTCGCTTACATTTCCGGTATAACAATTCAAAAATTTCTAAAACAGCAACTTTTTCGTCTACTCCTACATTGTTCTACATTCATATTACTACATTGTTTTATATTCATAGTTCTATATTGTTCTACACAGATACTTCTACATTGTTTTACACTGATGCTTCTACATTGTTCTACACATATTCTTCTACACCGTTTTACATTCATACCTCTACATTGTTCTACACACATTGTTTCACATTGATACTTCTACATTGTTTTACACTAATACTCCTACATTGTTTTACATTCATACTTCTACGTTGTTCTACACACATTGTTTCACATTGATACTTCTACATTGTTTTACACTAATACTCCTAATTTGTTTTACATTCATACTTCTACATAGTTCTACATTCATTCTTCTACATTGTTTTACACTAATAATCCTACATTGTTTTACATTCATACCTCTACATTGTTCTACATTGTTTTACATTCATACCTCTACATTCTTCTACATTGTTTTACACTAATAATCCTACATTGTTTTACATTCATACCTCTACATTGTTCTACACATATTCTTCTACACCGTTTTACATTCATACCTCTACATTGTTCTACACACAT